TCGTTTTAATAAATATTTTTTTTCTTCCCGGGCACTTCCCCCGCGGTCCTCAGCATCCCGCCCAGCTCCGGCGCCCCCCGGGCAGGGTCCCCCCAGCAGCGTAGGTTGGTGCTGCGTTCGGGAATTTTTGTGCCTTTTATCCATCTTCCTTTCTCACAGAAGAAGAGTAATTAAGCTCCAAGCAGATGCCCCTTGGTGGTTTTCGGGTCTTCCACCCCCCCCCTCCCACCGGCCTCTGGGGATCACACACATTTTGGGGAGTGAGGGACGGCGTTACTGGGGTGTCCTTTGCCAGGACACACCTGTTCCCCGGGACAAGAGCACTGCCCTCGTGAGCCCACTGGAAATCCACTCAATAAATGTGCCAGGGATAGGTTTTCCTCTGTCTTCTGCCTGCAGGTGGGTTTGGGGTCCCACCAGCACCACTACTCCTGCAAGGGCACTGCTTGTGTGTCACTCCTGCACCGGTGGCAGGAATTGCAACTTCCACAGCAACAGCCGAAAACTGATCCCAGCCTGTCAATCTGTGACCATGCCTCTTCCCTCCATCCCACGGGAGCACCCTGTTCTGCAATTCATGCTTATACGGCACTTTTCGAGCCTGAGAAAGAGAATGAAATGCAAAGTATTCCTAATTAACCACTACTGCTATTCTTTATCATTCGAGGTATTTTGCATATTAACTGAGCAGGCAGAAACCACGGATCCTCAGCGGATCCTGTTCTCTGTCGCAGTTGTTTACTCCGTCGCTGGGATCCCTCCTCCCGTGGTTTCAGGCTGTGCCACTCACAGGGCACCCACAGCCTTTCCTCAAAGTGATCACTGGTGGCATCTCACTCTCTGCTTCTTGTCCCCTGCGGGATAAAACTCTCCCCTCTGCCATATTTTCCCTCTTCCACCCCAGAGCCTGGCAGGGAGCAGAGCTGATTTGGTGAAAGGACAGCCAGCATTGCGGATACCTCTCTTTTCCAGCTCTGATATCCTTGATGAATCCCCCCTCAAAAAAAAAAAAAAAAAAAAAAAAATTGCATGTGGCTCTGGGGGAAGTCTGGGAAGGAGGAAAGAAGGGTAGAAAAAAAGTGCACCATGTCTAGAAATTACCCAAGGAAAATTTGACAGCATAATCTCTGCAAAGCCTCCAATAGAGCTTTGTCAGGCAGACAAAACTTGCTCCTCTCATTTCATTAAATCAACTGCAGAAGCAAAACGTGGAGCACTGGTGCAATTAGAAGCAAAGCTTTCAGTGAAGCTGGGGTAGCAGTGATAGCCCAGAGGCAAAGCACAGCCATTCCCGTGAAACACAGCTGGTGTCATATGTGATTCTTCATTAATCTAAAACTTTAATTAAACTCAGAAACTAAAAACCCCAAAATATATACAGAATCCTGAAGTATATCCTAACTGCTGAGTTGCTGGAAATTGTCTCCTCCAGGAGATAGAAGCTTCTTTCCATTTGGAATCAAAACTTGTGTTGATCAAATTTAACAAGCATGGGCTCTTGAATAGCAGTTTATGGTACCCCCTCTTGCATTCACATGGAAGGCACCTTAAGGTAAAAATTAACTAAATACCGAGGGTTTTTTCTCCCTTAAGCACAGACAGTGCTTCTGTGATTCTTTACAGTGATTATTTACAAGTACAGGATGGGTTGGAGTTCCTTTTAAGGTCCTGACCTTGTCCCTGTATTGTAATGACACATGGAGACCCCAGGAACAGATGGATGGGTGGACAGGTGATGGCACGGCCAGTGAGGAGCATCAATTCTGACAGTTCTAAATGTCATGAGAACAGAGCTGGCTGTTGCTAAGCACAACCCCAGGTCCTGAATTTTTGCATGCAGAGATGTCCTGAAGACCTCAAATCTGGATTTTGCTCCTCCCACACCACGCAGAAATCACCACGTGCTACATCTGGACACAATCCTGCGGTCTGGCAGAGTCACAGAACCCTGGGCTTGGTGGCACTGGCTGTTTCTGCAGCAAGGGTTCCTACCTGGGTTAAAGCAATGACAAATTATTCCAGGTGATAAAGCAACAAATAATAAACATGCCTGCAAATAGAATTGATTCTGTCCAAAGCCCTGCAGCCCAGCCCCAGGGAGCAGGGATCAAGCCAGTACCATGCCACAGGGCATGGGGAACCTCTCCAGAGATCATCATCTTGTGTGTGGCCAAAAGCATCACCATGGAAAGCCCTGGGGTCAGTATAAAAGCCCTTGCAAGCAGATAGGTGCATGTAGAAACGTCCTAAAGCCTTGGGAGATGCTGAGGATTTAAACCCTGCAGTGAGTCTGGGATGATGTGATCAGGGACTGGCATTCCCAGCCCTGCCGCAGGCAAGTCACCCACACGCTCCACACCCCTGCTCTTCCTCTGTCACCACGACAAATTTAATTAAAAATTACAGGGAAGAATATTTTGCAAGGCTCTGGTACATGTCTAAGTGAAGAGGCTGCAACTGCCAGGTTTGTAAATGCCAGTGGTTCTGTCTCTGCGTGGCTCAGAGCCCTGGTGCAGGGCAAGCTCAAGGCTGCTTCCCTCACCGGTGGTGTCCCTGCGCTCGGGGTTTAATAGCTGGTTTGCCTGCAGGATTGCTCACTGGGGCAGGAAATGCCACAGGATTTCAGGAGCAGCAGCTAACACTCTGGAGGTTCCCGGCACTGCAAGCCACAATTCCAGAATCGTTTGGCTCGTTCCTGCTTGGTGACCTATAAGTCAGAAGTGTAAACGTGAGCGCTGGCCCCAGGCAGGCAAAGGCACGACCATGCTTTGAAGCACGCTCTGCCTTGGTGCCCTATTTGCCCAGTTTACTGCGAGGAGATCCAAGGAACTGGAAGAAGATGGAAACCAGCAGGGATTGAGGAAACCCTTCAGTGTTGACAGAGAAAATCATTCTTACTGCATTGCTCGTCTGTTAGGGGCAGAAAGAAAGTGCCTCTCAAGGAGGGTCTGACCCACCCAGCCTCACCAGTTCTGCTGGACCAACCTGAATCCCATACAGCACCTGGCAGCAAAGGGTTCAGCCCCAGCAACACCTTCATCCACCAACAGTTTTCCCTCAGAAGTGTTTAGTTGCCCGTTATCCCATGGGAATGGTCTCCTGCTGAAGTCAAACTTCTTCCAGTCTGATCTTTTAATCTTATGCAGACCTCATGTTCGTTGCAGAGGAAATTTGCCTCCAGGAGCAGGAGCTCAGACTCTCTATAAATATTTGATAGCTCTGACCACCTCTTCTGAGTTATTATTTTATTTAAAAAAGGAGATTTATTATGGTTCTGGACGACTCGAATTCACAAAGCTCACCAATATGGTGGTTTTTTATCTCTCATATTGGGTGTACCCGACAAATGTCACAGCCTTTAATAACATGCTTTAATTAATCCTGGAATTCTGAATGTGCTATTATCTTCATTTTTCAAAGAGAGGTCACAATAGTAAAGGAAAATCTACATTGCTTGCAAGGGCTACTCCAGCAGTCTGCGGCAGACCAGGAAATTAATCTCTTAATCATTCTGCCAATTTGACTCAGTGGTGAGAGCACAGACCTACGACTACCTCATCTCTCTGCACTGATTAAATTATTTCCTTTATCTGGGGTGGCCTTTCCCACCTGCAGAACAGGAGCAGCTCTGATGTCCTCTTGTGTAGCTTTGGAGATGGCTGCTGAAAAGCACCGTATAAGGGCTCAACCAACCTGCTTCTCACAGCCTGATGCTTCACCTTCTTGGAAGCTTCCTTCCTCAGTACCTGTAGCACAAACCCTGTTTGGATCCAAGGAATCCCAGGAACAAGCCATGAGAGACACTGCTCTGGTCTCTCTGGCTCCCTGTTGGGATGGAAAGTTCCAGTGGACTTGTCTCTCTCCCATCTGGTGGCTCAGGAAGTTTTGTCTGTAAGCAACGATAAAATCCCACTACTCTCCTTTTCCCCTCAGCAGGGCCAGGTCCTTCCACTACTTACACCCAGAATTAGCTAGGCTGCTGAAAGACCACTGATACTGTTTCCAATTAATACATCTCCACCTGGCTGTTTTCTCCACAGGGGACAAAAAAGCGTTTATCATCTTGGTATCTGCTTTAGACCAAGGGGATACAACTTTTCTACGCGTTTATTCCCGATTTGTTCCAAGATGTCTGGGACCTGGGGCTCCTGAGCTCTGACTCCAGCTATTTGCCAGCCCCTCTGTGCATCCATTCACGTTCTCACATAACAAAAACACAACCTGGTTTGCCAAAAGGGAGTCACACACGAAAAAGGAGGGTGGGAGGACAAAGATGGCAGAGCAAGTGTTAGCGAAATATGGAAGCTTTAAAAGTTTTGAAAAGGATGAAAAAGCAGGAGATGGAGGAAAAATAGCAGAAGCTGAAAAGCTGACAGAGAGAGAAACAGCTGCAGATAAGCAGCAGCAAATACTCGTATGGAAAAATGGAAAAAATAATGTAAAACATTTCCAAATGTCACGAAGTCTGTGAGCAAGAAAGGATGAGAGGTTTTACATGGATTCTTCACCTCCCTCCTGTGAACAGGAGAGAGGAAAAACTAATGAAATACAAAGCAAGGAGCTGGCCAAGGGCAGCACCATGGGGAGCAGCTGGGTCACTCCTACCCATGCTCCTCATGTCACCCTCTGCTCCTCCTGCATTAGGGGCAAGCTGGCCACTGGCATGGGAGCAGAGGCTAGCGAGGTGTCCCTGCTCCTCACTGCCAAAACCACCAACACCTTCCTGGGGATATCCAGCCAGCTTCTGTGCTGCTGTCTTAAACTGGTGGTGCTCCTGCAGTCCCTCATTCCATGTGGTTCAGCGTGATCCAAGGAAGCCCAGAGAGGCAGAGGTGCCATGAAAGTTAGAGAATAAACTTTTTCACAAGACACTTCTAACGTCAGCCCTGCATACTTCATTCTGCCCAAGCAGAGTACTCACAGGCTTGGGACTCCAGTATTCCACAGATCATTCAACAGCTACCAGAGTCTATGCAATAGAATATCAGCTTTTTAATGTTCACCCAACAGTAAAATACATTCAGAGTTTTATACTTGGTATCTAAATACAACGAAAATAATTTTGCTAACGTTTCCAGTTTGAAAGGCATTTTAATAAAGGTTTGCTGAAAGTTTTCTACGAATTTTCTTGGTGCATATTTAAAAGAATGCCTGTGCATTATTCATGTGATAATAATACACTTTATATTGTAGACAGCAGACAGTATTCTTGAATTAAAATGTCAGGCACTTTGGATCCTATCAGATTTGTAAAAAAAAAATCCATGGGGGAAAAATAAACTTTAAAATACTATGTTCCTTGTAATTTGAATTAAATGTTTGAGTGTCACAGTGGAGAGAGTTCTTCCAACTCAAGTCAAGTGTAAGCATCCTAAGAAAACGTTTTTAAAGGCAACTGAGGGAGCTAAAATACCATAATGAGTGATGCCCTTAGGAGTCAAGCATTAGTGCTTTTTTTGTAGTGGGGGGCTTTACTATGGACTCACTGGGCATTGACAAAACGGATTGTACCCTTTCTTGGTACTGTCTCTCTGCTTCCATATTTAATTCATGTTCTTTCTTCCTCTTCTCTTCCTCAGCTTTTTGGAGACACTGTTGGTAGTGAATTTGAGTTGCGAGCTGGTCTCTGTATTCTTTGGCCTTCTGTATTTTTCTGGAAATGCCAAATGAATAGGTTATTTAAGCAGCAGGGTAAAAAGAATAAACTTTATTATTATTATGTAATCTGTTAGCATTCGACCTTAGACTAAAGAACCATTCAAAGCTCCTTTTAGCAGTTAAGAATAACTACCACTATTAACCAAATGCTACATGTTCTTCATTGTTCTTCAGAGAATTAACTGCATTCTGTTGTATCCTACAAAGCAGACTGTAAAACTGGTGCTTGACCAGAAAGAGGGAAAGAACAACTCCCTGTAATCAGTGTTCCCTGCTCCTCAGAGCCGTGGTGAGAGGATAGAGGATGAGGGTGCTGGGTCTCAGTCCGTCCCTAGCTCGGGCTCAGTGCTGCTGCTGACACCCATCCTCACCATCCTTCTGAGAAGAACAACTCCCTGCTGCACTGATATTCCTGGAAGTGGCTGTCAGAAGAAATCCATCCTTCATTCCACCTCAGGACTCGTGTACAGCTTTCACTGCTCTCTGGAGAGGCACAGGAAGTCTTACATGTTCAGGAGTCACACGGACACTTGAATGCCAACAGAGTAGTCAGGACTTGTGCACTAACTCAACAGAGCTGAGCCACAAACCCTTCCTGACACTGCTGAGTGCCATCTCTGCTAAGTGGAGCATATCCCAGCTGGAGCCCAGAGTATTTCCTTCACAAGGGTGACATTTCTGCCACAGCCAGGAGGTTGTTCCCAATAAAGCCCTCGGAGAACACAACGATACCGGCTCGGGAAGGAGCTACTTGTGTCCCACGGACAAGAGTGAAGAAAGGGCAGGAGTGCAAAAGGGAGTAAGTGAGGTAAGGCCGTTTGCCCAAGGCTTTGCATGACACCCAGAGGAACATTCCAGCTACTGCGTGTAAGGATCTGCTCATCCAGAGGCACGGAGAGGCACAGAGAGCCCCGTGCAGCCGGGTTACGTGCTGCAGCCAGGTGTTTTGGTGGCTGACAGAGAATTGTTCAAGGGATGACTGTGGGTGGAGTTTAGCAATAAGCCCGGACACACTTGTTCTTCTGGAGCAGGAACAAACAAACCTTTCATTAACCCTCCTCCCCAGACTTCTGCCGCTGGTAACAACAGCTCAGAGTACGAGGGGATGTGTTCAGGAAATATGATTGACGTAAGTCACATGATGATCCAAAAAGACCAACACAAGGATATGTTACACTATTTTCTGATGTCGGGATTAATGACTTAATTCCAGGCGGAACATTACTGCTATTGGGCAGTTTGGAGCTGATAAGGTGCATGGTGGGAAAGCCTCTCTAAATAGAAGGAAGTCCAGTCAGTGTTCTAGAGCTGTCAGAAAAAAAGAAACAGCTTGCTCACAAGTTAAAAAGATTGATCTGCGAAGAAATGAACCCATGACATAGAAGAAAAATACCTTATACGTTTTAATTCTTCTTCTTGTTCGAATTCTCTCACTGCTTCAGCCATTGCCTTCTTCTCTTCAGCAATCTCTATTTTCCTCTCTGCTTTTTTCTGCACTGGAAAACGAAACCAAAAATCCTTTTAGAAGGTAACAGCTCTGCTGAGCTTGAAGGGACACTGAGACTGCATTTGGGCTACGTAGCCTAAATAATAAGCTTGAGTTTTGTTGCCACACAAACAACAGCAAGTGTATTTTCAGCTTGTTTGTTTTGCATCCACTCAGAACTGGAAAGTTTTCACATTCAGGACTTCATAATAATATAATTAATAATAATGACCATTTGCCCATGCAATCCTTACTTTACTAGGCTTTGCTCTGGTGATGGCAATGGGGAATTAGTGTAAGGAAAGCCTGTAGGATTGCATTTTGGGAACAGGTTCAGGGAGGGTCACATTGTTGTCCACTCTATCACACAGTGTGTGCTGGGCCAGATGCTGTTCCCAGCAGCAAGGTGTTGCACTGCCTCTGCCCAGACACGTGTTTGACCACTTACACTTCTCCTCCATCTGCGCCTGTCTTGTGTACACGACATCTCTCAGCAGCTGAAATCGAGCCTCCCTCTCTTGTTTCATTTTCTCAACCTTCTCAGCCCAAACCTGATCCCTCTCTTCCTTGAAGACCTTCTCGTCCTCTTTCTCTTGCTCCTTCTCCCTCCTCAGCTGCTCAGCGAGATGATCCAGGTAAGTAAGCTGCTCCTTCAACAGTGCTTGCTGCAAACACACAGACATTTGCAGATCTGAGTAAATTAGTTCCAAAAAGCATTTCAAAACCTAAAAAGAAGTGGTGGTTCACAACCAGTGTGGGAGCTGGGAGCTCAGAGCTCCATTCCAAAACCTGCCATGGGAAGGAATCCTCTACCTGGCCAGACAACAGGACAAATACAGAGTGATCCCTTTCCTCACAGCTGCTGACAACACACCCATTTTACAGATTTTCCACAGCTGACCAGGCTACTCCAGTATCACC